TCTCACCAGAATCCCACCAACATTGTCAATTTTCAGACTTTTTGAAATGTGTCATTCTCAATGACATGAGATAATATATATCAATGACTTGATTTTGATTTGCATTTCCCGAATAATGAAAGTGGTGATCACTTTTTCATATGTCTATAGGTCCTCTGTATATCTTCTTTTTCAAAAAAAAATCATAACACCATTATTTACCAAGTTGTTCACAATACAGTTGTTTAGGCAGTAAATATTCCAACACCAATCACATCCCCAGTGTGAACTCCATCTACCAATGTCCCCAGTTTCCCACCCACCACCCTCAACCTGCTCCTTTAGCAAGCACTTGCAATTTTATTTTATAATGTTTTTTAAAACACAATACAAATGGAATTATGAAAACTTAAATTTTTTGAAGAGATTTGCTTTGTTCTATTTATATACTTAGCTAAATTGGCATAGATTTGCTGTCCATAACTCTGGGAATTTAACTTAGAAATCTCAGTTCTGTTCCATTGATTATTGAGCTGAATGTCTATCTTTAGTCTAATGTAATGCAGTTTTGATCACTATAGCTTTACAATATAGTTTAAGGTTGGAAAATGCCATACTTCCCATGTCCTCCCACCCCCCTTATAATTGCTTTGGTTATCCAGGGAGTTTTATGGCTTTATGCAAATTTTAGCGTATATTCCATGTCTTTGAAAAATTTCAATGGAATTTTAATGGGCATTGCTTTCAATTTGTATAGTACTTTGGGTTGCAGGGTCATTTTTACAATGATAAATCTTCCAATATATGAAGAGAAAATCTATTTCCTTGCAGACATTTGGAAATCAATCAACTTCATACTGAAAAACCAGTGGGTCACAGAGGAAATCATGGAAAAATTCAAAAGTTCCTGGAAACATATGAGACAGAGGCATGCGTTACTAGAACATACGTGACACAGAAAAATCAGTGTTTAGAGGGAAGTTCATGGTATTATAAGTGTTCATTAGGAAGCAAGAAAGGGCTCATACAATTTAGAACTTAACTTAAATATCTAGAAAAAGACCAACAAAGGGAAACTAAAGAAAGCAACAGGAAGTAAAAAGTAGCAAAGCACAAATTAATTAAAGGGAAATTAAAAATATTCAAAATATAATGAAACAAAGCTCTGTCTGTTTAAAAAATAAGCAAGATTTACAAATTATTTAATTAGATTCACCTGTCACTGTTCACTGTCACTGTTCTCCTGTTGTTCATCGATTTGCTCGAGCATGCACCAGTAACAACTCACAACAAATTGTGAGACTTGTTGTTACTGTTTTTGGCATATTGAATATGTCACGGGTAGCTTGCCAGGCTTTGCCGTGAGGGTGACATACTCTCAGTAGCTTGCCGGGCTCTACGAGAGGGGTGGAGAGTCCACCACGTGGAAGGCAGATGCCCTACCCTCTGTGCTATTGCTCCAGCCAATTAGATTCATAGAGAGAAAAAATTCTAATAAACAGAATCAGAAATTAAAGGGGAGGGGCTGGAGCAATAGCACAGCGGGTAGGGCATTTGCCTTGCATGCGGCCAACCTGGGTTCGATTCCCAGCATCCATCTGGTCCCCTGAGCACCGCCAGGGGTAATTCCTGAGCGCAGTGCCAGGAGTAACCCCTGTGCATTGCTGGGAGTGACCCAAAAAGAAATAAAAAAAAAGAAATGAAAGGGGAGACTTTATAACAGATACCATAAAAACCTAAAAGAAAAATAAAAAAATGCAAAAGATTACTATGAATATTTTATGACACAAAATTTGAGAAACTAGAGATATGGAAAAATATTTGGACAATTATGGTCTTCTAATTTGAACTTAGAGAAAATAAAGCACATGAACAACTATCAAGGAAATTGAAATGTTAAACAAAAATCTCTCTGAAACAAAATCCATGGCCCAGACGGATTTGCTAGCAAGTTATTCCAGACCTTTAAAGAATACCTGCTCCCAGGCCAGAGCAATACTAGAGTTCTTCATTCCTCAGCACTCCAAACCACCAGATTCCCCAAACCTGCCAGGAGGATTCTCTGAGCTCAGAAACAGGGGTAAATTCTGCGCCCTGCCATGTGTGGCCCTTAAACTAACATAACTAACCAAATAAAGAAGACACACTCTCCTGTACTCTTCAGACTTTTCCAGAAGAGAAAACAAAGAGAAAACAGGAAATCTCTAAGTTTCTATGAGACAAACATTATCCTGATACTAAAAGCAGACAAAGACACTACTTAAAGTCAAATATACAAATGTCCCTGATGAATATAGGCAAATATCTTTAACAAAATATTAGCAAACTGAATTCAACAATATATCAAAAAAGATTATGTATTATGACTGAGTAGATTTTATCCTTTGTATCCTTTGGGATACAAAGATGGCTCGATATATTCAAGTCAATCAGTGGAAAGCATCATATGAATACAAGAAAAAATTTAAACCATCTGATTTATCAATAGATGCAAGAAAGCATTTGACAAGGCCAATGCCCATTCATGATTAAAACTCAATAAAAAGGAAAGGAAGGAGATCTCTTTAACATTTTAAACTGTATATCACAAACCCACTGCTAAAATACTGAGTATTTAAAAACTAAAATTCTTTATGATTGGATATAAGGCAAGGTTTGTCACTCTTGTCATAATTTTTCAGTACTATATTAAAAGCTCTTTCTGTAAAATTAGGCCAGAAAGAGCTATCAAGGATATTTATATTGGAAAAGGCTAAATCATATTATCACTATTTTCATATAACATGATACTCTATTTAGAAAACCTGAAAGACTACAAAAGTAAAGACTATTAAGAATAATAAAGGTACACAGTAATGTGACAGGACACAAAATCAACACAGTGATACCCATGGCATTTCTATATGCAAGTAATAAAAAATAAGTGAGAAAAACTTAAAAAAATCCATTCAAAAAAGCCTCAGAAAACTGAGTTATGTTAACAAGTCTTGGAATATCTACACAAAACATTAAATATCACTATTAAAAGAAATAAACGGGCACACAGGAAAATAGAAACACATTGTTGTTCATATATTAGAAAGAGTAACATTGTAAAAGTGATAATCCTATGTAAAGCACTATCACTGTATCACTGTATCAGTGTCATCCTGTTGTTCACTGATTTACTCAAGTGGGTGTCATTAACGTCTCCATTAGTCCCAGTCCTGAGATTTTAGCAACCTCTCTTTACTTGTCTTTTCCAATGACTGCATTGGAGGCTCTTTCAGGGTCAGGGGAATGAGACCTGTTATTGTTTCTGTTTTTGGCATATCGAATATGCCACGGGGAGCTTGCCAGGTTCTGCTGCAAGGGCAGGATACTCTCAGTAGTTTGCCAGACTCATCATATATATATATGAAATATATATATATTTCCCTCTATGATTTGTTGCCTACTGTTTGAACCCCAGCAAATATGGTGTGGTAATTGTGGAAAATGTGTAGGGAGTGTCTTATGATATGTCGCGGCTCTGTGGTCCAGGAATATGTTCACTCATGTGTGAGGCTCGGCCTGAGCATGTGGAAAGTGGCCTGGAGCATGGCAGTGGTTGGGTAGTGGAGGTCGGCTGCCAGGGCTGGGTCTGTTGGGTTGGGGAGGGCTCTCACTCACCCCCTCTGGGATGCCCAGAGTGAAAACAGCCTGGCGTGGAGTCCGAAGTCTAAAGCACTATAAATATTTAATTCAGTCCCTATAAAAACACTCATGACACAATTTAAGTACACTTTACCAATGTTGTTCGAATTTATATGGAATAATAAAGGACCCAAATATCTAATACAATCTCGGGTAGGGGGGAAAGGATGGGAGGCTTCTCTTTCTCCAATTTAAAATATACTATAAAGCAATAGTAAACAAAAGTGTGATATGGAATAAAGGCAGACTCTCAGACCAATGGAATAGAGTTCAGAGCCCAGAGGAAGATTCTCAGAATGGACAGCTAATCTGACAAAGGTGCAAAGAGTAAGAAGTGGAACAAGAAAAAAATTCTTCAAAAATTGGTGATAAAACTGATCAATCACATGTGAAATAATGAACTCAGACCCTTCTCAAACACCATGAACAAAATTCAATTAAAAATAGATTAAATGAGGCTGGAGCAATACCACAGTGGGTAGGGCATTTGCCTAGCATGAGGCTGACCCGGGTTCAATCCCTGGCATCCCATACGGTCCGCTGAGCACTGCCAGGGTAATTTGTGAGCACAGAACCAGGAATAACCCCTGTGCATCCCCGAGTGTGACCCAAAAAAGCAAAAAAAAAATAGACTGAAGATCTTGCTATTATACCTGAATTTATAAATTATATTTAAGAAAACACAGAAAGACACCTTCATAACATTGACATGAAGACACTTTCATGATACCTCAAAAAAAAAACCTCATTGACATTAGAGACATTTTCAATGATTCAAGGCCATTGACAAAGCAAACAGAGGCAAAATAAACATGCATTTTATGTGAAAAATATGTAAAATAAAGATGAAATCTTTATCTGTCTATCAAACTAAAAATCTTTTGCACTCTAAAAGAAAAAATGACCAGACTATAAAGACATCTCATAAGACTGCGAAAAAATATTTGCCCACCACTCATCTGACAAAACATTTTTTGTAAATTTGTATAATATCCAAAATATTTGTAAAACCTTACAAGAAAAAGAAATGACCAACAAAATTTAAAAAATGGGGGGAAGAGATAAATATAAACCTCCTCAATTAATAAATAGATATGGCCAAAAGATGGCCCAGAGATATGTGAAGACATATTCTGCATCACTTATCATCAGAGAAATGCAATTAAAAACAACAATGAGATATCATCTCATATCTGTGAGATTGGCATACATTACTAAGGAGAGAATCAACAAAGTGTCCTCCATATGGAGAAAAAAGAATCTTCATTCACTGCTGGTGGCAATGGCTACTTGTTCTGCCTTTCTGGAAAATAATATTAGACAATTCTCAAAAAACTAAACATTGAGCACAGCCAATTTAACCTACTGTGTCATCTGCCCATTTGGGCTCCATATATAACTTCTGCAGCCGGCAAACAGGCTCCTCTGTAGTGTATGCAGCCCATGCGTTGTATGGGCTATTCAAAGTGACCTTGGAGACAGTCCTTTGCAATGGCAGTTCATATCATATTTTATTTAAGCCACAGTAACATCCTCTAGACAGATATGTGAGGCCCTTTGAAAAGTCCAAGGATGTTTGTTTTTGGGAAGATTTTGGTTAAGGTTTCGAATTCCTTGATATAAATGGGTCTATTCAGGTATTCCAAGACTTCTTGGCTCAATCTTGGGAGATTATAGGAATCAACGAATTTATCCATTTCTTCTAGGTTCTCTTGTTTCGTGGCATACAGACTCTCAAAGTAGTCTCTGATGATCTTTTGAATTTCATTGGCTTTTGTTGTGATGTCCCCTTTTCATTTCTGATTCGGTTTATTAGGGTTCTCTCTCTCTTTCCTTTAGCTGGTCTTTTTCTAAGATCTTGAACTGTGAAGTCAAGTAATCTATCTAGGCCCTTTCTTCCTTCCTGAGGAATGCTGGCAAAGCTATAAATTTTCCTCTTAATACAGCTGTAGCTGCATCCCATAGGTTCTGGTAGCTCATATCTTCATTATCATTTGTTTCCAGGTATCTTTTGATTTCTTCCTTGACTTCCTTCCTGACCCACTCATTGCTCAACATTAAGTTGTTTAATTTCCATGTGTTTGATTTGGTTCTCCACATCTGTGTGTGATTCACTTCTCTTTAGTCCATCATGGTCTGAAAAGATAGTTGATACAATTTCTATCTTCCTGATTCTATTGAGGTATGTTTTGTGACCCAGCACATGGTCTATTTTAGAAAATCTTCTATGTGCACTGGAAAAGAATGTGTGTTCTTTTTCTTTGGGGTGTAAAGCCCTGTATAGGTCTGTCAGCCCTCTCTCTTCTATTTCTTCCTTCAAAACTAGTGTTTCCTTGCTGAGTTTTTTTCTTGTTGATCTACTCAGAGGTGACAAGGCGATGTTGAAGACTCCGATTTCTATTGTATTACTCGCAATGTCCTCCTTAAAATCTGTTAGCAGTTGTTTTAGGTATTTAGCTCATCCCTCATTTAGTTAAGAGTGTGATTTAGCTCATCCCTCATTACATTTAAGAGTGTGATTTCTTCCTGTTATACATATCCCTTGATAAAGCAACCAGTGTTGGCATGCATGTGGGGAACTAGGGACCCTCCTACACTGCTGGTAGGAATGCCGACTGGTTCAGCCTTTTGGAAAACAATATAGATGCTTCTCAAAAAATTAGAAATTGAGCTCCCATTTGACCCAGCAATACCACTCCTGGGAATATAACAGGGACAAGCAAAAAAGTATAGTTGAAATGACTTGATCACTTGATCACTTGATATCCTGTTACTCATCAATTTGCTTGAGTGGGCGCCAGTAATATCTCCATTAATCCCTGTTGCGTGCTAGCATAGCCCAATGGCATTTGTTCATTTCAGGAATATGAAGAGCCTCAAACCGATCGTTCAGGGTCTTCACAAAGAAGTCTGAACATCTCATAAGTGGGTGTCCATGCAATCTTTTGACGTCCCATGGAATGCAGTCGAAATGACATCTGCTCTCATATGTTCATTGTAGCACTGTTTACAATAATCAGAATCTGGAAAAAACCTGAATGCCCAAGAACCAATGACTGTTTAAAGAAACTTTGGTACATCTACATAACGGAATACTATTCAGCTGTTAGACAAGATGAAGAGGATCAACATGAAAAGTATCATGCTAGGGGTATGGTGGTGCAAGCAGGTCAATCTGTACCCGTGAGGTGAGTGCATCGGCAGCCTGATGGCAATGTCAGACTTTCAGATACCCCCAAATTGCTGCTGTGCCTTAGGCCAGACACCAAAAACTTGGGGCATAGTTTACCAAGAAAGTAAATGGCCAAAAGTTAGGTATATGTGAGAAACACCCACAAACCACCTCTGATTCAGCTATATAATTGGAAGCATGGCCTCTCTGGTTCCTGATCAAACTGCTTAACAGCCATGATCCCAGAGACTCAGAAACGAATCTCAGAACCCAAAGGCTTTTGGCAGAAATGTGTCCTGTTCCTGCAGTAGGTTACTGGCGCTGGGCCACTCCAGGTGGAAATAGGTTTCATGCCTTGGCCTGTTCCCCATGGCGGCCTGGTGACTGCTATCCTCCAGAGGCCACTGGACAGTCAGATTTGGGCCTGCAGTGGCGCCTCACCAGATGGGGGTGGAACCAGCCCTTTCGCCCCATCCCAATGAGTCCCCAAGTTGCCACCTACAAACGGCCTCTCAGGCTCCTGATCACGCTGATTAATGGCCATGATGCCAGAAACTCAGAAACAAATCTCGAAACCCAGTGGCTTTTGGCAGAAATGCATCCGGAACACATACAAGGTGGCTGCCACCTCAGAGCTTATTAGAAAGCCAGGTCTGAGCAACTGCAGTCTCATGAGTGATGGGGCAACTGCAGTCTCATGGGAAGGGGTGCAGTACCAGCTTGTCCTTCACGCCCTACCAAGGTCACGAGTTGCCCCCCATGAGCAGCTCTCCGGCACAGCCATAACACCAGATGCACAGAAACCAATCTCGTAATTATCTGGCTCTTTGCAGAAATCCAAAAACACGTGGTCACTATCGTGGCTGTGCGACATTATATGATTCTCATAACCAGCTATAGAAAACAAATTATTTCACAATGCTTTTCAGCAATTCTGATCGTTGGGGCAGGGAGTAATCTAAACAGTAATGGTGAATCTTTTGTCGAAATAATAAATGTAATCAATGTTGAGAAGAGTTAAGTAGAAATCATCTGCCTCACAGGCATTGAGAGGCATGGGAGGTGGCTATATTGGGGTTCTTGGTGTTGAAAAATGAGTACTGGTGAAGGGAAAGGTGTTTGATCATTGTATGACTGGGACTTGAACCTGAAAGATTTGTAACTTTTCCCACAGTGATTCAATAAATAAATATAAGAAGAAAAAAAAATAAAATTATGAAAAAAAGTAAGGTGCAGTTCATGCCCAATTCAATCAGCTAATCACTGGCTGAATAAATAGCAGTACTTCTACATAAAAAAAAGAAAAGTATTATGCTAAGTGAAATGAGTCTAAAAGAGAGAGAGACAGACATGGAGAGATTGCACTCATCTGTGGAATATAAAGTAACAGAATGGGAGACTAGCACCCAAGAATAACAGAGATAAGTACCAAGAGGTTTGCTCCATAGCTTGGAACCTGGCATCATATGCTGGAGGAAAAGGCTGCTCAGATAGAGAAGGGAACACCAGGTAAAATGTGGTTGGAGGACCTGCCTGGGATGGGAGATGCACGCTAAAAGTAGACTATGGATAAAACACAATGGCCACTGAATACCTCTATTGCAAACCACAATACCAAAAGAAAAGAGAGAACAAAAAGGAATTTCCTGCCACAGAGATGGGGTGGGGTGGGGGGTGTTGCTGGGATGTGGGAGGGATACTGGGATCATCGGTGGTAGAGAATGGGCACTGGTGGTGGGATGAGTACTCTAGCATTGTATGACTGAAACACAAGCACAAAAGTTTTTTAAGTTTGTAATTGTAATTCACCGTGAGTTTTTAAAAAAATTAAAAAAAATAAAATATCCAAGAACATGGTGGACAGGATCCATGATGTCCAAATCATCATCACACACCAAACAAGGAGTATGTGATTAGGCTCTATTTCAGGCCAAGTTAAAGTTCTGTGAACTCCAGAAGATCTTCATCTCGAAGAAGTGGGACCTTGCCAATTTTAATGCAGATGGTTTGACCACATGGGGGCTAAGAAATGGCTCATCCTAGATGGCTGTGTGGTCAAATACACACCAAATCATGGGCTTTTAGACAAATGGTGAACTCTATATTTCTGAGCTCCCTGAAATTCTTGCTCCCCACCCTAGTCTTCATCACCTTATCCCATCCCATCACAACAAACCCTGTTTCTTAACCAAAAACAAACAAGCAAATAAACAAAACAAAACTAAGAACTGAACTTCTTTATGACCCAGCGATTCCACTTCTTGGCCCAAGGCAACAGAGCATGAGAACTGGTGGACAGTAGGGCACTTCCATGGTGGGGTAGATTACATGTAGACTACACTGCAACAGTAGTGCAGGGAAGTGAGTACTTTGGTGGAGAGTGTGATGCTGGAATATATTATGCAAGAAATCCTACCAGTAACAGTTTTTTTTTAAAATTAGCTTTTAAAATAATTATAAAATGTAATGATTTTTACAACTTCTGGGGGAATTCTCATTTTGTGAACAAATGCTAACCAAATTGTATTTATAAAATTATCCAGTATGAGCTGGGCAGAAAGAACAGGATTTAAGTCACTTTCCTTGTTTATAGTTGATCCCAGTACAGTCACATGGTCCTTGTAGCACTGTAGCACTGTAGCACTGTACTCCCGTTGTTCATCGATTTGCTCGAGTGGGCCCAGTAATGCCTTCATTGTGAGACTTGTTACTGTGTTTGGCATATCAAACACAGCACAGGTAGCTTGCCAGTCCTAGTACCACATACATATGGTCTCCTGAGCACCACCAGGCATAATCCCTGAGCACAGATTAAGTTCTGAGCACCCCAAACAAAACACAATCCCCAATGTCACCTAATATTCATGAAAATCTAATAATGTCCAAGTCCCCTAAATGCATATATTGTTTTGGGTAGGATTATATAAAACATTATTGATAATATTTGAAAACTTACAGATTTAAGACAGTTTTTTTCTTTTATTCTTAGTGCAACACCATGAGGTACAGTTATAGACTTACAAATTTTGTGCTTGGGTTTCAGTTATACCATGATCAAGTGCCCATCCCTCCACCAGTGCCCATCATCCATCACCATGGGCCCCAGCATCCCCCCCCAACCCCCATCCCCCCCGGCCCATCCTGCCTCTGTGGCAGGGTATTACCCCTTGTTCTCTCTTTCTTCTTTTGGGTACTGTGTTTTGCATGAGAGGCATTGAGTGGCAATCATGTTTGGTCTATAGACTACTTTTAGCATGCTTCTCCCACCCTGGGAGTGTCCTTACAACACCCTTTATTTGGAGCTCTCTTCTC